AGGTTTTTGGGGAAATTCCGACAAAAAGAAAAAGTTGTTAAATTGCAAAAAAGAATCATAAGAACTATTTATTCTATCAAAGCTAGGGATTCTTTTGAAAATATATTTAAAATCAACAATATTCTTACCTTTCCCAGTCTGTACCTATAATTTGTTTATATTTATGAAACAAAATTCGCCTAAATTATCTGTTAATTCGGACAATCATGATTATAATCCCCGACACAAAAGCAGCCTTTCATACCCTAAACACAAATATTCAACTTCCGAATCTTCTCTGCACTATTCTGGTGTTAAGTTTTACTACAGTGCTTGATTCAATTAAATCTGCAGCTTCCCTCAAATAGTTTAAAAAGCAGTTATTTAAGTGGTTATGCAATAAATGCTGTTAAATGATTTTTTCCACTGACTTTTGTATAAGATCTTAATTTTGTCACCATTATTTTATAGACACTATTCATGCATATTCTGTACAAAATGAGTAAAGGAACATGAATAAGTATTCTATGACGACAGGCAGTTAGAGGATTTAAAAATAATAAATAAAAAAGTAACAAAACGCGCAAGTTGTGTGTGACCAATATAGTGTGGAGTGTTCCTGGACGCTTCGTTTGAATTTTATTGGTATAAATAGACCTACAAAATTGTTCATACTACTTCCACATGCGTGTTTAAAATATCTCAGCTAAATTGTATGATAATTTTGACTACTGTCCTAAATAGTAAATTTTATAAGGCCTTAAAGTGGTACTTAGTCGAGGTTAACATTTACATTTTGGCGTTGTACACACAATTCTTCAAAGTTCATATCCATATTTTAACATTAAAAGGTTTAATGCAAAATAATCATGTTATCCTTATGGAAAATTGGTAGACTGAGATAGTTTTCTTGTTTATGGACATATTTTTATCCCTGGCAAATTTATTTATTCCACACTAAGCTATTAACTGCTTTCCCTGTAGCAGCAAACCTAAGTACCTACTCCGTTAACCTAATGTTATTTAAATAGGGAATATATCTGACATTTTTAAGGAAATATTTTAGTGGCAATTTGATCAGTCAAATTTAAATTCACTTATTCAGCAGGATTTCTGCAGTTGGGGGGGGGGGGTGTGTATTTTAAAGAGACTACAAAATAATACAAAAACATGTTTCAAATACAAAATAAGAATGGTAAACATGCCACGTATATAACGTATATTTAATATGTTGGATTAAATACAACAGCGATGCTTAATAAAACTAAACTGTTATTGGATATTAATATTTGGTAGTATTGAATGGATAAATACTGTAACATTTAAATTAGTAAAGGTTGGTAGTGCAATAGAACTACACAAGATAAAGGTATAATTTTACGTATATGTCACTAAATAACTTCTAGATCAGTACGTGTTATATCCTATAATAACAAGAATCTAACTGACGTCCCTCATTAATATTGGCTACAAGAGGTACCAGCCAGTAGTTTCTTTAAATCTTGATGCATTCTTTAATGAAGAGAATATCTGCAATCTTAGTGGAAATCTTGATTCTCGTATCTCTAAATTTTGTGCCAACTTTGCTTGACTAGCTTCACTAAATAACTTGTTGATCAGCATTGTACGTGTTTATTTACCTGAAAGTACAACAAATACGTCCAATAATACTTGTAATAGTATATTACGTTACTAGTCCTGAAAATAAGTGTTTTAGTCGAGTACGGGATTACCACACGAGTCCGGTACACACATTTTGGACGAGTTACGTACGATAATTAACGCCATACTACTAAATCTGTACAAATCCTTATATATTTTCACTAACTAAAGGACTAAAAATCACTAGTCATAACCTCTAAGAGATGTTATGTTTTTGTTTATAACCACTTATTGCCACCCAAATACAATATAATCAGCTGATTGGTGTCCGGTAAAACTCATTACAGTACAGTAGTACGCAATGAAACCCCGTTTGAATAACCTGGCGGCAAACAGCTGTTTTCTGGACTAAATCCTTGCGTGGGAAGTTTGTCAAAATAATGTAGTGTGGCGTAATATATTATTACACAACTGTGACGATATGACATCAACAATTTAGCAAGGTTGTTTGTCGTGTTTTTTTTTTTCATTTTAAAATAGAAAACAATAAGGTTCGTGAGGCCATTCATTGTTCTCAGAATTTATATACATTTTATATATATATATATTTTTACTCAGCAAACGCAGGTATGAATTCAAAAGCATTGAGAAACAGTATCGTTCTCCAAGGCCTAGCCTGAATTGATGTCGCTATCACAGCAACTCGTAAACGATATGCAAGATAAAATTCCCCCACCGCAGCAAACCTTGCAGGATACGCGTATTTCAATTCCCCTGATTGAATTTTACTAAAATATTTCCTTAAATATGTCAGTTTTATTCTCCATTTAAATAGCATTAGGTATTTCAGTTTTCTTGCTGCAGATAAGCAAAAAAATTTTGATAAAATGTTAATACTATAGTATGAATAAATGAAGTTTTTCATAAATTTGTCAGATTTGACCAACATAATATCCATTAACAAACAAACTACAGTAGTTTACTTTTTTACATCTGAATAACATGGAATTTTTAAATGTAGACCTACAGTTTTGGGGGATTTTCTACGTACCCTTTCATCGTACATCGACTCTTCAACACTTCGTAACACCCTGTTCCCATGAAACTTGCTGGTTCGCGAACTCAGTTAAGATTATGCCCTACACGTTCATACCTAATTTCATCAAAATCTCACCAACGTTACTCGAGTTATCGTTAGGAACATCAAAATGAGAGTAAATCGGTCCAGGGTATGGGTCTTACCGTGCAACCTACGGTAATAGCTACTTCCCTGTAGGGGAATTCGCTAAAAACTAGCATCGAACTATTATAACACAAAAAGATAGTTTTTTATGTTATAAATTTATTCAACAGAGGGGGTTTTTTATGTTATAAATTTATTCAACAGAGGGGGTTGGGGTTTACTTAACAATCTTACTTTAAAATCAACGTTTTATAAGTCTTATGTAAACTTTCCTTTGATAAAATAAATGTGGTTCTTTGAATTGGCAACAAACCAAAATAATGCTAAACTAGTTCATGATATATAAGTATATCTCCATCGCAGCAAAATTGCAGACTAAGCAAATTTATATTATTTTGATTTGATGTTTTCTAAAATATTTCCATAAACAAGTTACATTTATTCTGTATTTAAATAACATTAGATTTAATAAGTACTAAGGTTTGCTGCTACGGGGAAGGTAAGACGCCTTTTTATCAAATGTTAAAAGTATAGGATAAAATAAACTATTTTACCACATTTGATGAAAATATAAACAAGTAAACTACATCAGTTGTATACTTTTTTCTCCTTAAGAATAAATTGGTAATTTTAAATGTACAGTTTATTTTTATTTTCTCCGTAATCTTTAATCGTACAACAACGCACAGATGTAAAAAAAATTCTAGAATACTTTTTTGGCATTTTTAATTCCCTATCAAACGATACCAAGATCAAAAAGTTCGGACTACAAACAACTTAAATATAACGTTTTAGCGATTTTTTTTTTTTTTTTAGGGAATAAGCTATTACCGAAGTACTCATGGTAAGACCTGGACCCGGGACCGATTTGCTTTATCGTCTTGAGGTCCCCAGAGGCAAAAAACACTATCCGTTCAAATTCATAAATATGTCCGTTAGCACGATAGCTCAAGCAAAAATGATCCGATTTTGGTTAAATTTGGTACAAACGTGTTAACCCTTCATTTATTCGAACAAGTTCGCGAACCAGCGAGTTCAGACCATGGGAACCACCATATTTACTTCCACCATGATGGGAACGGGGTTTTACGGGGGGTTTTATGGGGTTAAAATTGATTTTTCTAATTTTTGACCCTCAAAACATAAAATTTCCCAATTTATCTCTAAACAATTTTAAAGAGCTTAAAAAACAAATAATTTAGTATCTTAAAGTGTTTTTGTACTGTTATTGGTTACGGAGAGAATGTTCATGTTATTCTTAAGGAGAATAAGACTGTTGTAATATGCTTGTTTATGGATATATCTTGATCAAACTTGACAATTTTTTTATTTACACGACACTTATTTATTGTCGTAAAATATTTATAGTCAGGCAAATGGAAATTCGATTAGTCTGCAGGCTTGCTGCGGCGGCGGCGGGGGTATTTTAGTTCTAAGATCAGGCAAAATGAAGTGCAGCCCGACTAACTTTGCCTTTTTTTACAACAAAAAAGGTTACATTTCAGTTATTTTTCGTCCGATATTTTTGTTTTTAGTATCGTTTTATAGGATATTAAAAGTTCTAAAAAAACATTCCAGCATTTTTAAAATAAAATGATCCATTTTTGAGTTACCTATTTAAGTAATAAAAATTTAAACGGCCGCCATTTAGAAATTTCTAATCGGACCAACTTTATTAGTTTTCTATAATAGGTCTTGTGTCCTTAAACATGCTTACCAAGTTTCATAATCATTGGATGAAAAACTTCACAGATAAAAATATTTTTGTATAAAACAAAGTGGCAATCTGGGTAGTATGCATTTTCGGACATACCTTCACATAAACTTTTTTCTTCCTTTTAGCATGAGGGTTCATATATCTCAAAGTCCTGAAATGTTTTTGATGGACAACCTGTTTATAAATTTGAACGAATTGTGTTATTGACATATGGGGAAATCAAAATAAAAAATTAAATCGGTCCTGGGTCTAGGCCTTACTGTGCCGTCTGCGTTAATGGCTTATTTACCATGGGGAATTCGTTAAAAGTAATTTAAAGTATTATTTTGTCTGTTTCAGAAGGAATGGTCTAATGGCTGCTCACCAATGGCCACATGACAGAAGGACAACTGAGAGTCAGAGATCAGAGCCATTCTGAACAGTTTGATGCCACTTGCAGTTCTCACGATCATGGAAACCCTCTGGACAGATCTAAAGAAAATGTTTGGTATCAAAGATTATTTCTCAAATACAGACAAGATGTACAGCAAACATCCCTTGATCGACATCAACTCACAGCTTCCCAGGAAGAGAAGGCGGTTGTTGAGATCCCACTATATGTTCATGGACTTGGCCATCAACCCCGGATACGGCGACAGTGGTTTGTTTGTTATATGTGAAACTACCAAACGATCATCAAAAAGAACATTACTATTTATAGCTGTAATCGTAGCCTTTATTTTAGGACTTCTAATGGGTTTATTTTTACCTTTGAGACTAATGGACAAATGTTTATCTCGATTAAAATTTAAAAACAGCTACCAACTAGGGAACGATTCGTCAAGAAATAGTACCGGTACCGGAGTGGGAAGAGTTGCAAACACCACGTACGTGAATGGAATATTTTGGGACGACGCCGTAGAAAGTTCTCTCCCGTCGGGGTTTACTGAGGAGTGCGGAACACATTGGGTGGACTTTGTACAAAAAACTGCGATCGTGAAGATCGAAAAAGGCTGTGGGAGGATGCAGAATAGACTCGTTACGTTCGAAGATGGCACAAAAGCGTGTTGCCGGTATCGCCAGAATACTGACCAGATTCAAGGGGAGATCTTCAGCTACTACCTGGGTAGGCTTTTGAACCTCCGCAACGTCGTTCCGTCTACAGTGGTCGCCATCAACAGTAGTCAAGTGACGTGGCACAACGTCGGATCTCAGCTGTCTGACGCGCAGTGGTGTGAGGGCCATCCTGTGGTGTTCACAAAGTACATCCAGGACCTTGTCCCCGCGGACATTCCTCCGGTCTTCAGGCAACTGACAAGTGAAGGTCTGTCGACGTCCGCCCGACGACCAAGCTCCTTCTGGACGACCGTCTTCACAAGTCATAACACTTCGGGAGAATTTAAAGTCGAAGAATGGATTAGAAGTATAAAAGACGCGGTGGAATTAGCACAATGGTCCGATCTCATTATCTTTGACTACTTGACTGGAAATCTAGACAGAGTGGTGAACAATTTATACAACCTGCAGTGGAACCCCGATATGCTGACCAACCCCGCCCACAACTTGGCCCGGACGGCAACGTCTGGCCTCTTGGTGTTCTTGGACAACGAGAGTGGCATGCTGCATGGCTACAGACTCCTAGACAAGTATGAACCTTACCACAGTCTTCTGTTGAACAGTGTGTGTGTGTTCCGCAAACCCACGGTTGATGCTCTGACAGCTCTGAGTCTGTACAGCAACCCTGGTCAGCTGTTATCTGAAGGGCTGCCTTCTCCTGATCTTCTACCTCCTCTGCCGGACCTCAACCAGAGTACACTTCGACTGAGAGTCGCTAGAGTGCTACAACAAGTAATATCCTGCGCCAAGAGGTACCATGTCCGTCTGTGATTAACTGTCAAGTCTATCAGGACTTTAGCGTCTTGTTAAATACTAGCTAGGATTTGACTTGGGTAAATAAAAAATAAAAAACTTATATCTCTCGGGTTTGTAGCCACAAAATCAGTGTAATGAGCAAGGAAATCAGTTTACCTAAAATGTATTAATCCTTTAAATTTAAACAGACAGAGCGGACTGCTTTCAGGTTTCAGGGAAATCCAAAGTGTATAATGATTCCTTTGCCTTTAGTCTGTAAAATATGTATTTCAAGAATGTTATGTTTAATACTATTTTGGGCATGTATTGTCCATTTAATCAAGTATAAAACGAGCTTTAAAATAAATTACAGTCATTAATTATATCCTCCACAAATAATTACAGTTGGATTTTTTTACTAGAAGCGGTTAAGGTATGGTTGACTCTCTTTGACAATGGATTTCTCTGTCTGTTTTGTGATCATGTGATCAAAATTGTCAAAAAAATCAATAATAAAAATAAATAAAAACAATCTGAGGATAGTCAATGTAAGAACTTACAAACGAAATATAAATCATCACTTATGTCCTAATTAATTAATAGTTTATCCTGTCCTACGGACAAAAACCTGCTTTATTCTTCTAATTTCACGATTGGCAGTATTAATGTTAGGTACAACAAAAGTTACAATATTTTAGTATCGTCTTGGTTAGTTAATTAATGTTAAAAGCAATCACTGTAGAATTTATTATTCTATTCTAATTTATTATTATATTATTATTTATTATTAAGTGGGGTGACACTTATTTAACAAAAATGTATTCATTAGTTGATTTGTAATTGGGAATTATGCTTCAATTTAAGGTATAATACTCAAACGACCACGTTATTAAATTTTTAGTAAATTTTTCAATGTAGCTGTTGTCTGTTCTTTGATTATGACAGTTTGTTTGTTTTGATTTAAACTCAAAATTTGACAAGTCTGATCACATGATCACACAACAGACAGAGAATTTGATGGTCAAAGATATTCCACGTAGCCTACCTCAACCGCTTCAAGTTTAAATAAATACAACTGTACATACATAATAATAATACAGGTATAAAATAAATGTATTATCATTCAGTATAGTTTTATTCATGTTTAAATATTCTTCTTTAATATGTATTTATTTACAGTAATCAAAGAGAAAGCGTAAAGCAAATCAATTAATCAATCAATTAAGGCAACAGTAAACTGTGCTGTAATCCATTCACATAAAAATGATACAATGTGCTTAACTCAGGTAAATGTTTTGTTTTTATATATTTACAATTAAGTATCTACGAAATTTGTTGTTTATTTCATTATATTATTTCTGCATAAATTAATCTCAACGAACAATTGATTACATGTATTTGGTCGAGCATGATATTTTAGAATCCGTTTCAAGGTATATCGTTCCCACTCGCTTGTTTCATAATGAATGAGTAGTTCCATTATAGTGTGGTGTAATCAAATAAAACTGTTAATTCGCCAAGCTAACAACAGTATCACAAACTATTAGGCCGATGCAATAGGTGTATTTATTTTGTAAACCATGTAATTAATTGTGACATTTTGTTCTATATACATTAAAGCTATTTGTAAATATTTTCAAAGTTTTATATTCTATGTAAGTAATCTAGTGATGTACAAATGTATTATTAGGTTGAATAAACGTAAATATTTGTGTTTAGATGCATTTTTACACAAATACCTTGACTTGGTTCTGTTGTGTTGAAGGTTGACCAAATAAAACGCAATTTCTTTAACTTCTTATGTAGGCTATTGTAAATGAAAATTTCTGTAAAGATTGCATATATCAAACCCCTGTTTACAATGTATGCCTAAACTTACTCACTGTATTAGACAATTGAAAGACTCTTTTCTCTGAAGGATATCAGTCTCTAAGCTTGACAACATTTGTGCAAAACAGAATGTGATTTTTTCATCTTTTTGTTAACATTATGTTTTGTTATACTTAAAATAATTATAAACATTAATTCATTAGTAGTCCGATCTCGTCTAAACTCGTTGTATTTACTCGCCGGCGATATTCGGAATACTGGTAGTGTGATTCAATTAAAACGCATTTGTGGAATTTATTTCCAGTTGATATTAAACATTCAACAAAAATTAGTGTGTTAATTGTTTAACTTAAAAACAAAGAACGTATTATAACTTGGCAATTGTTGGCTTTTAATTCCAATAATAGTATTATCTTACGCCGTGAATCTAGGAAATATGAATTATAGGAGGTGTGAGCTATTCCTTCACTTTATGACCTTTAGAACACCATTATCATTGGTAAAACACTATTGATATAAAAAAAATACCACCACCGCAGCAAACCTGCAGACTAAGTACATTTCTATCCTCATTGGATTTTCACTAAAATATTTCCCTAATCATGTAAGATTTATTCCCTATTTAAATACCATTGAGAAGGTGTGATTTTACTGAAATGTTAATAGCTTAGGATGAATTAAACCAATTCACCAAGTGTGATTGAAATATATCTATAACAAGAAAACTAGAACAGCTTACTTTTACGCATTACAATAACATTAATTTGTTAGAGCTACAGTATTTTGTTTAATTTTCCGTTACCTTTAAGCGTACAACAACACTTCAATATAGCATATTATTATTGGTTTTAAGCACTACAAAATGGTTTTGAGATAAATTGCAAAATGTTTCGCAGGTTTTATGGGTCAAACCTTGGGAATAGCCCAATGTTTACTCAATAAAATCCCCGTTCCCATACATAGTCTGATTATGCTGGTTCGCGAACTACTTCGAATAAACGTGGTTTTGCATATTTGTACCAAAATTCATCAAAATCATCATTTTTATCATTTTTATTCCAGTTATCGTGGTTATTAAAAAACAAAACCTGCGTTTTTGATCTCTGGTGAAATAAAAACGAAAAATCACCATAAGAATGGCCTGGGCATTTTAAATTTATATTTTTTTTATAATTTTCTCCGTAACCATTAACAGTAAAAGCCATAATACAAAATTATTTGTTTTTTGAGCTCTGTGGAATGGTTCATAGATAAATTTGGAAATTCTTCGTTGGAAAACCTTATTTTTACCCATAAACCCTCGCCCCCACAGTCCAAGCAAGCTGGTTCCCAAACTAGTTTAGGTAACCAAACGGATGTTTACCTAAGCTATTTTGTACGCTTCGCTGTGTGTTCAAACAATTTTTTAAACCATCGAAACTCCCGCCGTGTCTGAGGTAAGGTAACGTTTGTACCATATTTCATTGAAATAATACAATTTTTACTCGATATATCCTGCTATCAGACATATATATACAATGGGAGTTTGATCGGATGGTGATTTTGGCATTTGGGTATGTCAAAACGAAAAGTTAAATCGGTCTCGTGTCCAGGTCTTACCCCGGTAATAACTTAGTACCTAAAATGGGAATTCGTTAAAAAAATAAACCATCCCTTGTCCGATTCCGATATTTGATATCAATACAGCAAATTCGTACACCGACACAGTGTTAACCTTGAGAAAGAGAAGCCATATGTGCAACAATTCTTTATCACTAGCCCAATTATTTATAACGAAGACAGTTTTTAACCTATAATTAAAACGCACAGTCAGTTTTACCGAGTCGGGAATGTAAAAGAATTTCTCTTGATTTAGTGGATTTTGTTTGTCTCAACAATAATATTAATTAGTTGTGGTCATGGATGGGAACAAAAGAACAAGGGCCAAGATGGTCAGATGTTCCCATTTCGATACGTCGTCGACATTTCCGCTGCGTATCACCTGCGCACTTAACTCTTTGCCCATCACAGCACACAGGAAGTATAGATGAGGGTAGCTGGTAGCAACTCACTCCCCACTTGTACAAGTGTCCCACTGGCTTCATTCCGTCTATAGCCTGTGTTGTCTGACATGAGTGGGTTACTGACAAAATGCCTGTTATCCATTAGGTTTAATACTATGGTATGTAGTTGATTTGACTGAAAAGTCAGTTTGGTTTGGTTACAAAGTTTGAATATACGATTGAAATTAGTGGGGCGATGTCTACTTGTACCGGCGTCTAGTTGTACCTGCTGCATTTTGGTGACAGGCGTCTAGTTGTACCTCGTCCAAAGCTGTAGGTACAACTTGACGATGGTGCGGACGTCTAGTTGTACCTACGTCTAGTTGTCTCTACGTCTAGTTGTACCTCTTAAAAATCTACAGGTACAACTAGTCGGGTACGCCACCGTCTACTTGTACCTCATACGTCCGCGTCTACTTGTACCTACGACTACTTTTACCTACGACTACTTGTACCTACGACTACTTGTACCTACGACTACCTGTACCTACGACTAGTTGTACCTACGCCTACTTGTACCTACGTCTAGTTGTACCTACGGCTAGTTGTATCTCCCCTTCAACTTGTCACCAGTGTAAGGGATTTATTTTATTTCTTTAAAAATCATACAATCTTACAACAATTTTTTATAAACAACTTGCTACTAAAGCCAGGAAAATTTGGCTTGTCTGCAGCTCATTGGGAAACCCCTGTTCTTGATAACAATGTACTTGTCCCTCGGTCAGTCCTTATCCATATTACACTTTGGTTTTCCTTATTTCTTGTCAAGATCTGCTATCATTGTTTTTTCCACTTAAACTCTACCTTTCTATAGAAAACTAACATTAACTAGCTTAAACAACAACTTTAAACAATTATCTTAAATAAATAAATTCAGAGTTTACTCAAACAAGTAATAGAGTACAATGAAGTGTTTTGTATGGTATTAGTCACGGAGAATATTACAAGTTCAAATTAAAAATGTATATGTTATTCTTATAAATATTACGTAAACTGGCGTAGTTTGGTTGTTGATGCATATACTTTGACAAATTAGTTTATTTCACACTTAACTACTAACTTTTCTCAAAAACACATCTTAATTACCTTCTACGCAAACGTAAATAAAGCTCAGTATTGAAATACCATTGAAATGCCAGTATTGATAATTATAATAGTGGTAGT